TCCGAAAGTGCGAGAAGACCGAGCAGCTTTTCAGGGACTGCGCTGGCAGGTTTGCCTCTTTCTCCATTTCCCTAAAATCCTGTGGTAAATTAGGAGTAGTTTTATCTAGGGTTTCAATGAATTGCCTAATCAAAGCACTGTGATTTTAGCGGCCTCTATCTTTTACGCTTTGATATACAGTTTCAATATATTTTTTATATAACTAGTTCTAACCCTTTTGATCCCTATTTCAATTTGGGGTTTTTTCTTTTTCTCTGTATTTTTTGTGTTATGAGGATTATGGGTTAGGATAAAACATGTTAAGAGTCATGAAATTATGATATTTGAAGCAAAATTAAAGAAGCAAATGTTGGTTATGCTGTGATGATTATGAAAACACAGTACGAAAAGAGAATCAAATTTCTTTCTTCTGTCTTGTTGACAATATACATGATAATATGGACCATGTTTTGATGCCTGAGCTAGCTCAAGTGCGCTTGACTTACAGTCTAGCAAAGTATGATAGCATGTGATTATTTATAGGGTTGTTTTAGTTTTCTTCGTTCCAATCAGAATACAAACAGCTAAGACATCTAACTTTATTTTACAAAAAGTATTATGGTTTTGGCTACAGTGTTCCGATGAGTATGCTCAGAGGTCCTGTAATGGTCATGCAAAATGGGTTGTTGACGTTCTTGTTAGAGCCAATATAATCAAATTCTTTACATTGGATTGGGAATTAGTTTCAGAAATTTGTGATGCTACCGGTTACTTGATAAATTGTTTTTTGACGAGATTAATTTGAATGATTCCGCGACAACATGTAAACAAGTATGGCATGTCAAATTGGTTTAGCAGTTGATGAAGTGATTTATGCTTATTTAGACAAATGGCATGGACTTTAAAGCTGAATACTATGATTGTTCAGTGGGTGGATGAGATACCTAAGTAGGAAAATCTTTCTGTGAGCATCATGTCTCCCAACTCTGTCTTTGCTAGCCTCTGAATGTAATTGGAGCTTTCCTCTACATAAAAAGTATCCATCTCTTTTTCTTCTCCCTGTTTGAGCATTGGTATTATTTATGTTACTACAACATTGACCAATGTTGGGTACTTTACTTTTTGTTAGGCCTGTTGAAGTGGTGCAATCCAATAAAGAGTACACTGAAGATGATGTCACAGAAGAGGTGCTCAAAGGGTCTGTCTACCTTGGGTCATCACAGCATGGAGCATTTGACTTCCCTGGGCTACGCAGTGATATTGAAGACATTGAACGTACCTTTATGGGTG